CCCCAAAACCCCAAAACCCCAAAACCCCGATTAATCATTGGAATACTGAAATACTGTCAAATATAGTTTGTGGAAATTGAATAATAACTAAACTGGTTACTAGATATAAAGCTGATTAATTCTTGGAAGTTAAAGCTTTTCAAAAACACTTTCAGAGCTTTCACGGTGAGAATTACTTTCTGGAAAATCAATGGACTCTCACTGTTTGCAAGGACTCCTTCTGGAAAGTTCTTGGGCTTACTCTCCCTATAGAATATTAATACTTGTATTGTGAAACTTGATCTAGACCACTAGCTGGATAGAACCTTTCGCATACAAGAAGAATTTTCTAATTACTCGACCAACCTCAGTTAATGCCTAAATTCCAAACTTTAGCCCCAATGACTCCATTCCCACTCTCCTTGCCTGCCTTACCTTTCAAAATCTTCCTATCATCTAAACCTCATCCACCACCCTTACTCTTGAACAACTTCTTTGCCTTGACCTCGTTCATCACTCTTCCAATCTCTTCACCCCAACCCCCTATATTAACCTTTTCAGTATTCTTCCTATTAGCTCTCTTCAACAGATCCATAATACTCTCATTTCCTTCACCAGACTGCACAGAGCTGAACTGTTAATCGCTAAGTTCTGATGAGGTTTTATAAGGAATTTATGATTTTGTTCAGGATTGTTGAAGTCAGAATCTTGAACTCCCGCATGGCTTCGATCAAGGTGATGCAGTCCAGTTCTTTGGTGGTCTTTGCACTACCTTTTTGGAAATATGTTGGAGGGTGGGTATGGGGAGGTGTTTAGGATCGATGATTGACTGGAAGTTATGGTATAGGTAGATAGGAAGGTAAGAGGTAGATGGAGTTGATGCTACAGAAGGAGAGTTGGAAGAACTCTGTTCAGTTTTGAATTAAAACATGTTTTAATTGATCGCTAAAGTTGTATTGTCTCTAGCAACCAAAATTCGTATCAAGAATTTTGAGTGTTAAGACGAGAGTTGAAATACTGAAACATCATAGAGCTAATTTTAATATTCTCTGTCTACACTCCAGTGCCTTAAACTCAACATATGAATTTTGGATACTAGAGATAATGCTATGAACTCCATCTATCACCTGTCCTCCTAAGCACCCATGCCATAAATCTCCTGGCAAGCACCTATAAAATTACCACCACCTCCCTCAATAAACCCTTGCATGGGTGATTTTGAAAGCACCTTGATTTTCTGAGATTCCGACTGCCGCAGAGCAGCCTGAACGACTGCAGAAAGGAGCCAACAATTCTGCAGTATCTTCAACAACTTCGATATCCTTTATTCTGCGATTATTAGATCCAACTCCATCAAAAATTAAAATCTACAACCTATTCATCCCCTCAGAGTATCTGTTTTTTCCTGGCTTAATCAATGGCATACTCTCTAATCAATTTCATTATCTCCATCTATCACGTTGGTATTCATTCTTTCTGAGTTACTTTGGCTTCCTCTCTTCTTTCCCACTCTGTAGTTTCCTTTACTCCTGAAGGATTTATCTGGTAAATTTTACTAAGTAAAGAGCTAATACAGATGATGGCTCATTCTGATAACCCCAATTGACAGTCTTGTGCTCTCATTCAACCTCTGAGGATGGCCAAGACTCAATAACTTAATATCTGTATAAACAAGTTCTTTGAGAAGTAAGTAAAGAACACAGCAGTGAGGCCATACAACACTGCATAAAATCCTCCGCTTAGTTCTAAAACATCTCCCAATTTAAAGACCTTCAGATGGTATATCTCCGCGTTCTCCTCAAGTCTAAAATAGACACCTACAACAAGCCGGTCAGCTCTTTCAGATGAATACCTGTCATCCTTCTCAGTGACTCTAAAGAAGTTATTTATTTCCTTAGATACAGTCCTATAAAGGATATTATCTTCAGACACGGAAATCTTTATTCTTGATGTAAATATCAGGTTTCACGGCAAATCCTGGTATTAGCTCTTAATGGAACCTATCATCAATAGTATAAGCCACAGGAGTCTCGTGGTCAATCACATTGACGACTGAGTTGATCAGAAGAAGCTCCAGTCTCGATTCTCTCATAATTTCGTCAATTTTTGAAGTACTTTTTAGCCTCCTAAAGTACATCGCTTGATCTGAAGCCTGAGATATTGGAATTTGTTCGAGGAATAGCCTCCAGCAATAGGAGCATCTCTGTCTTTCATGCAGTAGAGATTTGGAGTGTTGATGCTATTGAACTGATTCTCATTCCAATAATCTAAGTTATCTCTACTGCAAAGTTCAGTCGCAATAGTGGTCACCTTCCTGGTACTAACCAAATGAAATTGTGAACAAATTTCAAAGCTTAAAATTTTACTTAGAAAATGACAAATTTAGTGATGCTAAAGAAAGCCGAAGCATATATGACAAGAATAACATTGTTTGTATTAAAATTATTATTTTGTGCAAAATATTTGAGTCTTAATTAAAAAATTTATCATCATCTATAAATTTCTAGCTAATAGCTTAAAATTTATTAAATCTTAATTTAATTACCATATATAACTCTTCGGACTCGTTTTTCCTTGTCTGCTCAACCAGTTTAAATTCATAATTAAACACAGAGGAATCTTCTAAATATTTAGTACCATCATTCTTGAGTTTAAAGGCAAAGGAGAAAGGATTCAATTCATCTTCAGATATTCTTGCAAATGGTCTATACTCTTCAACATTGTCACCGTAGAGGTTATGAATAACCCCTGTTTGACTCAAGAAGTTGTATTCGCTTATACAGTGTAAATAATTTGAGTAAAGCTTTAAAGAAATGACCTGCCTTTAACCTCTCATTAACGTATATATCGACTAAAATTGCTTTATCACCAAAGCCAAATTTTAATAACAAGTTTCTTTCATAAAAACAGAAAACTAACTTAGTATGCAACATAGGCAGAATAAAGGAACTTTACAATGACAGAGGCCAATTTGTCAATAAAAGTTCTACTCCCAACCTCATCCTTATTGTATATCTACCATCGTTGTTATAAGTACGGAGGGTTTTCTTGTCATAAATATCTCTGTTACGAACAAATCCAAACATTTTTGTAAAAAGGCTCTTTCCATTTTTGCTCATCAAAATTTGAATTTAAATTTGAACGGTACACAACTAAGACTGATACATAATGTTCAGTATAATGGGTTTCTGTGTCTAGTAATTGAAGATTTATATTGAAAAATAATGACCATATTAAGCATCTTAAAACTACCATTAATCCAACCTAAAATTTGAGTAAATACAGTATAAATTAAAGGAAGAGTCTTTTGCTCAAACTTGTTGTGTTGTTAAGGTGCTTAAAATTTTCTTCGAAAACAATGTGCCATTTATTAAAACCCAAATTTTACTAAAAGCTCCAAAATCCTTAATAATTATTCAAATTCCCAAATGAACATGCTGATCATGAACAAGGAAATCCTGCTCGAGTTAGCTTTGGCTTATGGCAACTATTTTAAGGCGGTCCTCACCTTTCCAAAGATATCAAGCCAATTCAGAGATACATGGAAAGCTAATGATCAATATTTGCAAAATAGATTTTGAATCTTCTCCAAGAGAAAGAAACTATATATCAAAGAAGCTACAGAAGAAACAGTAAGATACCTCCTGAAGCACACAAGATACAAACATCTAGATGTACAAATTGAAACTAGGCCCCAAACCTTAGAGAGATTTTACATAATTCTGAGCCTATTCTGAGCAAAACAGGGCTTTAGAGTCACCAAGATAAGCTGAAACTTCTTGTTTGAGTTTGAGGATGTGCAAGTATACAATAAGATATGAGACGTTCTAAAATTTCACCATTATCCAATGAGTTGCCTCAAATTATATATCCCTAAACCTGATCATGAAGAGAAGTTTGAGTATATTGACAGCTACAAAATGCAAGTAGGTGACTCTCTTCCCTTTGCCAAGATCGTAGGCACTCTCAGAGTCATAGTAACCCACTGCATAAACACAGACCTTCGATACCTTAAGGATCTTAAGGTTGAGAATCTTGAGATTATTTTCCTTAAAGAGAACTGAGTTGCGGGAATTGAATATCCGGATCGCTCAACTGATTTTGCTTTCAATATCAAACATATTATGTACAATTACCCATCGTTGATATATGGAAAAATCCACAGCCGGAAGAGCCAAAAGGAAAAGTTATTAAAATACTTTATCGGACTGAAAAGTTTTTCAACTAGCTACAGGAAAATTTCCAAAATATCTCCTCAAGCATTGCACCAGATTCATGGATTAAATATCTGGGATGATATAAAATATGACAAGAGAGCCTATACCACGTTTAAGAATGCAGAAATATTCTATTTCCTGTTCGGTGAGTGCATCAAAATTCAAGCAGAGGTCCTAAAGTTCTATGAAGATTATCAATATCCCTCAGTTAAAGTCTCAGAGAATTTTCTTAGGGTTTCCTTTCTTGATATTTCACACAAAGATAGCCTGAGGATCAAAAATTGCAGGAGGGCTAACCTTACGCCTCATGAACTGAAACAGCTAGATGAAATTGCTCCAAAGAAGACCACAAGAAGGTCTCAGTTTTTGTACATAAGGATTAGAGGAATTCAATCAATCACTTTTTGTAATAAAAATCCAAAAATGTTCCGATGTTTGGGTTTAATAAGGCTCAACGAAAATACTAATCTCAGATACAAATTCACAGAAGCAGATCCTTTCAGGCTAAGACTGGCGTTCAGAAGATTAGACCGTAGCAATGAGTACAACAGTAAGGAGCAATTCATCTTCCAGCTTCAGACCTTGATGGAGGCAAAACCCAGAAGGTTCTTTATTCACATTGACAAAAGCCCTGAGCTCATTATTGCTATCAAGACTGAACCGGAATTCCTCAATGATATTGTCGGAATCCTTACCAGAAACTTATCTTTAGAGGTCTTGAGAGTTCATTATACATATAATCTCAAGATGAAACCAATCCTGGTAGCCAGGAAATCAAATTTACCAACTTTTATAGAGAGGATCAAGGAAGCTCTCTCTACAGCTCAGTTTCCTGAAGAGCTCTACACGGAGCTCAAAGATTCCAGGGACTACCAGTGGGATGACAACATAAAGGATTATGTCCCAATGAACTACACAAGAGAAATAATCCTTCTTGAAGCCCAGATCTTCCAAAACAATAAGATCAGCGATTTTGTTCACCCAAAACTCCCAGAAATTGAAGACGAAAAGGCAGATTACATTGGAACTAGCGGAGAAAAGACAGAGGCACCCTCCTCTTCAGGTAGTGAGGAGGAGAACATCTACATCACAAGAGATTCTCATTGCAGAAGAATCGGAATCATAGATAGAGACGATAGCTCTCTTGGAGAAGAGGGGACTGAAAACTCCCCAAAAGAATTCTTCCTTCAATTTAACGACTAATTCAATGTAATTTCTGAAGATTGGGGTTTTGGGGTTTTGGGGTTTTGGGGTTTTGGGG